TCGGAAGAGGAGCTATTTTCTGTGTTGGTTATATTCTACATGCGTTCTGCATCACGAACCAATTGGTCGTAATTGGTAGGTAGTGGGCCAAGAAGTTTCAGTATTTGTTTAATTGGATTGGGCAGAGCGCTAGTGAAATGCAGAAATTTGCGTTTATCAGATAGTTACGAGCTTGAGTACGCATCTAGAATCTCCTTGCGAATTCTATTGGAAAAAAACTTCTGGTGATTTCCAGGTTCCATTCTCATTTCCACGACCTTTTCCCTGGCCATGTCCAAAAAATGGTCGGTGGAGAAGTGTTCCTTAATTCTTTTTGTCGCTGCACGCCAATTTTGCTTGTCCGCTTTTAAATGCAAAGGCAAGAGGAGACCTACTTTGGATCCCGTTAATCCTGTCCCCGTTTGGGAACAAGAGTTTCCCGGTTGTGGCTCGCTAGCCTTTACCTTTTTTTGGGTGGTGTGTGTGTTTACAGTGGCTATGTGCAGATTTATTGTTGAGCGCAAAAAAGCACCAAAAAGCCCCGTATCGGCGGTGCAACGGGTATTTATAGCCAGCCGATACGGGGTGACAAACAATCAAAAGTCAAAGGGTGGCAAATAGTCTACATGGTTATCAATGGTTTCGTGATGGCAACTAGAGTAAAAGATTATCAAATGTCAAAGGGTCGCGCAGAGCGGGACTCTCCGCGCACCCTCTTTACATATAAGGTCTGGGCTTCAGAAAAAAACAATCATAGCGAAGTAAAAAGGGTTCAGTAAAACTCAGAGTTCCATCGTTTAATAGTGTAACATGGATCGTTCTCGAATGGTGGTCTTGCATGGCGTTATCCATCGACAGGAGCGATTAATAGAGAGTAAGGCTCCAGTGTTTTCTTTTTTCGATTGTAGCTTTCGAATAAGCCCTAGTTGGGCACAATAGAAAATTGTGCGGCATCCCGCAGAGATGGCACGCGAAGCCGCAGTCGCTCTCGTGAGCGCTTTAGGCATCTTGTACAGATGCCTGATTGGGATGCTCGAACAGCTTTCGAGACCGGGTCCGGGAATTTAGGACACCGTGCCGAAGTGTGTGCATCGAGGTTTTCTGCCGTAGCACAGAAAGCGCACTGCGACTTAGGCGTCGTGCGACCTATTAGGAGCTGCATTGCTGCTTCAATACCGTCGAAGCGGCGGCTGGATAATTTATCAATGTTGAGCAGGTACTCCGTTTTGTCGTCCAACTTGCGCACGGCTTTGACGATGGGCGATAGACGTTCGTCTTGCTCCAACTCAGCGACGGCAGAGTGGAATTCGACATGTTAGTCATGATGTCTGTTGGTTGATAACCTCTGATTACACACAGTTTCTTATCAACTATTCTTTGTTATGTACATGCTCGATGACTTTTGTTATGTACATCTTCTTGCAACATTAGGCAATCAAAATAGTGAGCGTCCGGTTTAGTGGTAGAATGCTCGCCTGCCACGCGGGTGGCCCGGGTTCGATTTCCGGCCGATGCACTAAAATTTTCCTCCGTTTGGGAACAAAGGTTTCTTGGTTTGTAGCTCGCTAGCCTTTATAGTGGCTATTGCAGATTTATTGTTGAGCACAAAAAGCACCAAAAAGCCCTGTATCTGCGGTGCAACGGGTATTCATACCCATCCGATACGGGGTGACAAACAATCAATGGTCAAGGGGAGGCAAACAGTCTATGAAAGTCTATTTCATTAAATTTCCCCAAAAAATTCATTAACCCTGCTCCACCTTTTTCTCCTGAGAAGGTGGGGAGTTTGCTGGGATAAGAGGATAAACAGAGTTTATCGAAGGCCGAATCCAGTTGTTCGGACACGATATGTTCACCAGTATCCATATTTTCGCTTGGGGGAGGGGATTATTGAGGGTGATCTGTATTAAATGAGCTGCTCTGGAATGAGTGAGGGACTGCGAGGTGGGCTATAAAAGGATAGATCTTTCGATATAATAGGTTGGTAGGCTGTTGCTTATTGAAAAATTGCTGGCTTGTAGAGGGTTGGTCGCAAGTATTATAAAGTTGCTGGCTTGCCGAAGGTTGGTCGTAGATTTGATCCTAGACGTTGCCGGCTCTTGTTAGTTTCCAGTTACAATGATTTGCAGTTATCGTTTTGGAGGACGGTGGTGTGATGGGTAAAACTGGGTTTATACTGTATGCAAATCTGGTTCATTCACGGGTGGAAGGCTACAAAAGCTGTAGGAGGGACGTCGTATGCGTGGACCAGTGCACTTGTTATATGTGCTGTGCCGTCTGGTTGGATTGACAGAAAACTTTTAGTGTTATTGGGTTCAAGAGCTATGGTCGGGAAGAGTGATGTAAAGGCTAGGATCCGGTAGCTCCGATCTAGTACGTGAACGTTTTGGTCGAACTGGGGGAGCATTTGGGTTGGAATTTGGGAGGGATGGGGGATAAACGTCGGGGTTACGAGTGGTTTTTATTGGTAGGTGAGGTATGCGAAAGTTAGTCTTACTCCTTTTAGTAGACTATCCACCTGAGACACGGCGATAGATGAGGTTATCTTCAGAACTATGTAGTAATTCGGAGTCCGAATTACTCATAAAGGGATATCCAGTTGACTGATATGATGGCTGGAGAGGGCAAGAAGTTGGGATATATAGGAAAGATTTTGATGAGGCGGCAGCGAAGCGAGGACTCGCCACCTCTTTGGCAGTTGGAGCTGTTATGACGAACATGTACCTCGAAGAGTGCCCAGTACCCCCGGAGTCTTCAGTGTTGCCGTACAATATAACTGATATAGGGTCGTTGCCGTACACAACGATATACCGGTTGAATTTCAACTGTCTTTCCAAACCTACTTGTCCTGCTGAATATATGGCTGTCGAGCAGACGATGTCGAATATCCCATTTGATATTGAATAAGATTTTGCAGAGTTTATTCCATAAGTTGGTAGGCTCAATGGAGACTGAGGACCCACTTATCTCGGGGCCGCTTGACCCCGCATCTTTTAGGGGCGTGGGTTCAGCTAGGGAGTCGTCTCAGACAGTAAGACGACGAGGTAGTTACTGAAATCGTCGCCATAGACGACGATACTTTGGTTGTAAAGATGAAGAGGCCTTCCAGGACAGAAGGTTCAACCCTTCTTCTGGCATCTTATGTAACAGTCGAATAAGAGCAGCCACTCTGATAGCAGAATTCAGCCGGAATGGCCATAGCTGTGTCACGCCCTTCAGGAGCTGGTTGACCCGATAAGCGCTCGCTGTCCCGCGGTCTTCGCGCCTTACGGATGTGCTTGACCTTACGAAATACAATTGTTATAGCATACGTAATACCACGAATTCGCCCTTTCGTGGTCGAGTCGAGCTTTTTCGCTAATTTTGTTTCCATAATCTAAGCATCTCAGCCCTACATTCTTCCTGAGCGTCTGCAGCAACACCACTATGTCACTGTATTCGGTGTGACTTCACCCTAACCACAACCTAAACGCGAACATTTGAACAAAGTGAAAAAGTGCTCTACAATTTTTGGATAGGTTATCTAATTATCTAAACGTTGCAACCAATTCCTGCTCAAAGCACAGTTGTAGAGCTGCAATGGATGGTGAATCCATCCACTGGTCCATTCTGGTAGAATACCAGAGCATAGCTTTTACTAGGACCACCACGGATTCAGGTCGGTTTGACTAGGGAACATATATTATGATAATCAGACACCTGAAGGCGACCATTTAAAAAGGAGATACAGCAAAAGATGCCCAGCAGCTTACAGCGACCAGGACAAGTTATACTTCTATCATTGTCATGTAGTGGCATTCATTTCAAGGCTCTCTGAGGTAAGATAATCATCCCTTTGATTCATTTCTATCCCATGATCCGTGATTGGTATTTTAATATGGCATCCTAATATTTGTACAGAAACAGAATAACGCGCCCCAATGCTGAAAGATCTTGTGCTAACGGCCGCGGTGGAACTTCCCTGTGGGCGCGGCCGGCGCCCATATTTCTGCACATGTCTACCTCTCTCACTAAAACGGCCTTATATGGTTGTAAATGCTTTAATCTTTCAATTTTCACAGCAATTATGTCGCTCACCCACATAACGAAGCTTATCTTCGAGGTAATGCTGTTCCTCTTATTGAGAACTCCCAGATTTACGCCGCCATAAAACCCAGTTGAATGCTCTCCTTTGACGCCTGCGCTCTGATTTGCTCTGCAGAGAACATGGGGAGGATTTAAGTTGTCGCGTAAACGTCCGCGACACCGCTGCTTCTTATGGACTCCACCCACCGTATAGGGATTTCCAACTCATTGCTTTTGTGCTGTGGATAGGGTCAATGTAAAGTCTACCGTAAAGCTTGCGGTTATGTAGCCGTCCGCATCTTTTCTCGTGGTGAGCTATGTTAATAATGGTTCTCGGCCATTATTTTTCCCAGTTTCAGACGCTTCCGCAGAATGATCGAGCTTTTTGCTATTTTCACAAAAGGTGGCTTTGGCTTATGGGCATTCCAGGTACGAATTTCCGATTAGTTCATCTCAATTAAATTTAAAGAGCCTCAACTACGCCACATTTTATTTGTTGGCGGAGGTGGTGTAGTGGCGAGGGGACACTATCACACATGTATGGTACGGGTTCGGATCCGAGATCGATATCCGCATAAGTTAATCAGGCTTTCATCCCTCCGGGGTCAGTTAATTGGTACCAGGGGCCACTCCAAATCGTTGTACAGGCCACGTACGCATTCATTCCGCCACTACGATTCTGAATAAAAGTCGAGTGCGTGGGCATATTCAGACGGGCTTGATCAACGCCAAAAGATTCATCTTTTATTTTAGTTGGAGTCGCAACATGATGAACAATACATTAAAAGATGATGAGCTGATTCTGGTAGAATCAAAATAAGGCTAGCGTTATTCAACTTCGTGGAGTTTGGTGTCCAGGACCCGTTACTAAGTAATCACTCCCCTAAAATGATCCCAACGGGGATGTTTGGTTCAGAATACCTATGCAAGAAATGAATACATGATGAGGGTTATTCCTGGCAGTGAAGAGCAAACTTGGTTCGATTGTTGAACTTCGAAAATTTCAGGAAGGTGCGGAGCGTTTTGTTGACGCTATCAATGCATTTGTGAAAGATGTCCTGATACAGGTTGTATTCTTTACTACTTTTACCATGATAACCTTTCTCTTAACATATTTTTCAGGAACGTGCTGTTTCACAGTACAAGTACAACGACATGACCATCAAGTTCATGATGGATAATGAGTTTGAACTGGTTTTCGTTGTTAGTTTTATGTCGTTCAATTGCTTATGTATGTTGAATTTACTCTGACTAACCTTATAGCCTAAATTAGACCTAGAATCTTTTTTGAGGTTATCTACCAATCGGCAATACAACTGTCGTACACGGACAAACTGCTCTCTGACGTCCGCCAAAAATTCCGGGACATGTACAAGAATGTTTTGTTAAATAAGCAAGTACGTTGGAACTGATGTTGATTTTATTTTAGATACCTCAGGGTTTTTGATGTCGTTGACGACTTCGGAACGAATGTAGTTACCTGTGGTACACCGCTGGCAGATTGCCAAACGTAGCACATTATAAAGAGTAGGGCTCACCCTTGAGTGCAAGACTAGACATAGATGCTATCAATAGGATTAACTTCGATGTCGAAATTGTAGTGAGATAAACCGGTGATAAAAGTCCGCTCCGTAGCTACATTGAAACCTGAATATTTTGCATCATTATGGCTGGCTCAAACACGGATGTTTCTCTATACCTCGAAGAAGGAACAACAGTATCTGGTTGCTGGTAAACAGCCGAGGAAGGCACCAAAATCAAGAGGTGTACTGCTGTTCTGTCCCGTGATAATAGAGCCATGCCGTGATCCCTACGATTATTACACCTACTGTCGTGAGCATGCTACGACACGACCGTAGTGGGACTTTGAAAGGAGATGTGGTTTCCCCTCTTACAATCTGAACCGTGCCTCTCACGGTTTTTTGCCCATATATAAGCTTATCCTTCAGATATTTCTCTTGTTATTTTTGCTTTATTTTCAAATGCATATTTAAGTGCGATGAGAGCAAAGTGCGCTCAATTGTTAGGAAACGTTGCATTGAAATTCGGCTTCACTCTTGCCTTAATGCATTGCGTGACACGTGTGTGGACCATGCGCCGTGATTTCATTGTGTCGGCGACTTAATAACACGTCCTTCGAAACTAAGCGCCCACGGCCTGCTGTTTGTACAGTGGGGCAGCAAGGGAGTGATGCTTTGAAGTGTCTAATGGTGCCCTAAAATTACTCGCGTTCTTCAAGTGGACCAAGCACAGCGTCTTGAATCAGTCAGATGGGGTGATATGATGTTGTTGTATGGCAGCGGGAGACCATATGGCACGAAAATTCTGCAAAAGAAGTCGACGACTGGCTGCTTCTAGAGTTCAACAACATGCTCACCGACCAACCGACCGACCGGCCGACTGAGCGACGGCGCTAGCCACATGTTGGAGACATTGGTCCGTGATCTGACGTCCAGTGTTGTCAACACGTGACAGCTCCGCCGTCGGTATGTCGGTCGGTGGAAATTACGATAGTTCTATGGGCACGCCGCTGTATCTGAAAGCAACAATTTAGGCTTAGACGTTCAGCCCAAGGAACCGTACTGACGGGGCTGAAATAGCGGAACTAATTTTTATTAGACGACTGCATGATTTCTTAGCTGAAAATAATAAGTAAACCCACCGTATAGGGATGTCAAGACTATTTTAGTTCAAATGGTTTTCAAGAAGGCGTTTATGATTGCGTATAAGACGAAGAGAAAGCTCTATGAAGATGGAAACTGATCGGGAAAGGCGGATAATTTAATTTGTGCTTGGTGTGCTCTGATATAAATTTCATATTGAAATTTATTGTTGATCAAAAATGACATGTCCAGGCAAGCAGCTTTTTTTTGTGAAATTTCAAACTAATACAGCGGAAAGCGTAGAATTGAGACTCACTACTTTTCTAGTCATTCTGAGGCAGGCTTTGAATGAGTTTCTTTTAGGTTTTATACCAGTATGGACAAGAGTCATTTCGCCACTTCGAATCAGAATTCATGTGGTCAGTTTCATTCGTTAAGGTATAACCTTTGTAAATTCTTACAATGGATTGTCACCTTGGAGCAAAGAGCACTATACTACAAGAGTAGTTTGGTTATTTCTTTTCCGTGTTGAAATCATATTTTTGTATGATTTTCACAATCTTTTCCTACCTTTTAGTATCCGCGATGACCTTATGAGATCGAATGTGCAATCCACGGGTATTCCTAAAAAGCCGAGAACATTCCAAGTGGGTTTTACCGTTTTTTTTTTATTTCTTTTTTGTGACTCAAAAAATCTTTCGATTCAATCTATCATTGAGGCAAAAGGTGCAACCCTTTAGCCTCTATAGCTTTTTATTACGTATATTCTCAAACTTAACCTGGAGTCATGCTTGAATGTTGTTTGTTTTGAAATTTTTTGAACAATTCGTCTTTTGATGTTTAACACCTGCAAATTTTATTCAGTGATTGCCAATCCTTACGAGTTCTTACTCTTTGACTAGTATTGGCATTATTTTCATTATTTTTTGCATTGTGTCCCTTCTTTCTCTATACTTTAGTGAGCCTTCTTAATTTTGTGAGAAGCATTTCAAAAGTCTTTATCATTCGTTTAGCACGACCTTGATCCTGAAGGCAGAAGTGCCATCAATTCCATTAGTTTGTTATCTAGTGGGTGTATTGATTGAATTGCGATCTCTACCTTCAGGAAAGTGTAAAATCACAGAAGACCATCGATTCAATGATCATCAGTCGCCCAGGAGATGATAAGAAATCTAAGAAGGCTGAAGATGTTCGAAAGAAGCCTGTGACAGAGGAATTGGTTGTGTAAGTTCCAAAAGTTCCAACCGTGCTATAATGCTCTGACGCTTAATGGCTTCAACAATTTTTTTGGAGACTTAGGCTCAGAGCTGAGGCCTGCGGTAGGTACCATTATACATCCTTTTAAAAGTCCAAATTTTGTGAAGCGGTGTGGTTTCTGTATAACACGTTGTTTTTTTTTTCGAACTGTGAATCTTTGACGCTCTTCGCCATTCAGTGAACTTCCACTAAGGTTTAGCGTGAAGCGCTTGAGTTCATAAAACATCACTCGAACTTTCACCTGTTAAATTACTCTGATTGTTGTTGACTCATTTGCTTACAGTGGCTCTACTGATTCCGGTAGCGATGTTGGTTCCACTCCAGGTTCTCCGAATGATGAGCTTGCGAAACGTAGGGAAATATTGCTGAAAAAAATGAATGCAAAGAAAACAACCGCTGCCAAGTATGTTTTGTGTTGGCAAAGTTGTTGCTAACATTTTGTGGCAGTCCTGATGTACCACCGGCAAGCTCTATGCTGGAGTTTCAGGACACCAGAAATGGAACCCAAAAAGAAAGGAAAGCAAGCACGTGTTTGGGAGCTCTCGGGGGATGTAAAGAACAATACAAACCTTGATTATTCTGGTGACAAGAACAAGGTTCTAATTAACACTTTATTTTCTCCTTATACATATATCATCTAGCAAAGCATAGTTTTCATTAAACTGATTTTGTGTGATACCTATTAAGGAGCAACCAAATGGTCGTGAAGAGGAGGATCTCGCGTTCATCAATGAGCAGGTAGGATTAATCGTCTTCATTTTAATTTTTGAATCAACAACACTGTTAAAAGTACCTACTTTTGTTCTAAACTTATGACCTGTCTCCAGTTCTCTCACCTATACTGAAAGTTAGGTGAGTGATATAAACAAGACTTCCATCTCTCTGATTTTTCTGAATAATCAGTGGTGAACTTCCACCTTAGGATATGCTCGGGGTACATCGCAATTTTTGTTTATCTAACCAGGGCGTTAATTAAAATCGTATAGGTTAAGTCATTCGGAAATGAATCAAGCTATTTGTCGCATTGGAATGGTTCATGGGCAGACTTTTGATCGGTCCTCTGCTTCCTGGGTAGCGTACACTTCCGGGACCCCGTGTGGTTACTGGTGGTTAATTTATCTTTATTTTCTTAGCAATCGTATGAGTTGATAAGTCGCTTAGCTCACAGCGGCGTTGAACCTAGAAGTTGGAAAGCTTGACAGGTAGTGCATGATTTGATCCATTTTTGCTTTGCTGTTTCGATTATTTTCGAGTTATAGCGAATTTGCGTTGTGACTGTTATAAGGGTTCTAAATTATAAACAAAGGTTTTTACTTTGGGTCTGAAATAAAACAACATAACTTGAATTGAGTTGTCTGAGCACTCGCGAATGCAGTCAGGGATCTCGGCGGAGTATAAAAAGCTTTTGAGATTCATGCTTTGATGTAGTCTACATCGTTCTTTTTCAACAAGACACGCAACATATCTTCGCAGCCAAGCCTTTAATTGAAGAAGCGCCCTCACAGACATACTGTAATAATCCTTGCTTGCTGAAATTTCTGATGCTCTTGACTCCATTGTCCTCTGACGCCATAAACTTTTGTCGTTGCTATTGTATTTTTATTGGGCGTCACGTGTCTTTCCGTATTCCATTTTCTGCATATTGACCCTTTCATACTCCTGCTTGTAAGGGGTAAAGAGCACAAAGAGCGCACTTTCACATGAAAAAGAGCGCGGAGCGACAGATGAGCCACGTGAAAAAAGGATACCAGTCCGTTGATGAATGTCTGAATTTCGGAGCCTTAAAGTGCACTAAGTTTAGGTCTATTCTCACCGTAAATGAGGATAGACCTAACCCGGTCCCAGCACGGTGGCCGCCACGGCGTTCTTGACAAAAATGGCGTGCTTGCAGATAATCTTGTCGTTTCATGAAAGATAACCACCAGTATTATTGAAGTAAAACTTGTCTCCTGCGTGTTGTGCCTTTTCGTAAAGTGTGATCGCGTCATATGCATGTGAGAACCATTTTTTCGGAGCAGACGAAGATGGTCAACCGAGTTCCTACCTGTTTGGTCACAGCTGCGTTCCACAAGAATCTATTGCCTTGGACCCGCTGCGCTAACCACTACGAAATAGTTGTCGTTGAGGTCTAGTGGTTTCGATGATATAGTCCGTCCGCACTAAGGCTTCCGACAATACTGCAAGCCCCTTTTTCTCATTGAGAAGGGACAGAGATCGTATGTATGTGATCCCTGAGCAACTACTTTAGCCTGTGTTTCTTGCTTATTTTTTCCCATTTCTCTGTCAATTTATATCTGAATTGAAATTCGCTGATTTAGCGCAAATTTGTCGGTCGATCTGCTCAACTCCAAGGATTTTCGGACGGAGAGGATGACAGTGCAGAAGAGTAAGTAACGTTGTCATTCATAGCGCTATCCACTGGTTCACCTTGATTGCTGCCCTTCTTGTGAATACCCTACAAATCTACTAGCAAGAATTGTTTAAGAGTGGGTCATAAACAGGTGGATTTGTGAGATTTCAGTGCATGTCGTAAGGCTCGTATTTTTGATACAGACCATTTAGTCAACTAGTGCTTATTCAAAACACCTCGATAGTGCCACTCTAATTTACATATCATAGTTTCATTGATTGAACTCAGTGCTATTAAAAACAGCAGGGATCATAGGCATTGGCTGAACGACGCTATGTCGACCTTCCATCTTCTGGACCACCGGCCGTCCTATTAGGAATAGACTCGCTAAGGCAGATATCATTTACCTTTGTCGCGAGCCAGCAATGTACATTGGATCCTCTTCGCTCGAGGAACATGAACTATAAAAGAAAACGAACTATAGCTTTCGTTCAAAGCTATCGGAATCAATCACTACCGTGGAAATAGTGGTCGTTTTGGTTTTTCTTTTTACTTCAATACAAACAGAGCGAAAAGAGTCGATTAAAATGGCATGCGATATTGCTGAGATGAATGGCTACCGCAATTTTCCAACTACAAGAAGGGCACCTTCTGGTGGCGTGATCCTCAGACATGGTAGTACTTCGTTCGATGGGAAGATTCCTTTTGTACTACCATTCATCTCTGATGAGGTCAGTGCCACTATCAGGAAGTGTCTAAAGAGATCGGGCTTGGAAAATGCGGTTGCTATTGTTAACGTACCACCCCTCAATCTAAAGAAGCGCCTGGTTAGGAACAGGCTGTACGATCGCCTATGTACAACCTCAAACTGTGTGGTTTGTACAGCTGGAAGGGAAGGTGATTGTAACATGTCTGGAGTGGTCTACAAAATTACTTGCCGTGATTGTGGGGATGAGTACATTGGAGAAACGGCAAGACCACTCCACGTGAGGGTTAAGGAGCACGTAGATGGTATGAAGCGACTGAACAAGTCCACTGCCTTAGGGAGTCATCGAATACAAAAGCACAACGGAGACGTTTTTGAAGTTACCGTGGAGGTCGTGGCACAGGAATCGCAATTATGCGCGCGTAAAACCCTCGAGGCATTTTGGATACAAGTTACTGATCCAAAAATGAATCGTAGGGAAGAATGCCTCGCAATCACGCGGGAGCTGCGGCCTTATATAAAGTTGGCCTTCCCATAGAGACTCTGAATGAAGACCTACCCCAGCTGAGACTGGTCGATTATTTCCATCGTCGATTGCTGGTTGGTTTCGAAGAATCCACCAAGCTACGGTGAGTGATTCTCCTTCAATCACCTGCGTGCCCTGGGGGTCTCGAACTTCAGTGTGGGCAGTGGAGACGTTTGGTCGGATAGTCACGAATTGTTATGATTTTTCTAGGCTCTGAAGAAGGCGACTCCGCCGAAACGTCAGCCTAATAAAGCTTGAATACCAACCTCGTGAAGAGTTGAAGAAAACAACTCAGTAACAGAACAAACAGAGCATTCGTTCCGCTTGCTCAATTTTTGGTGTTATTATTACGATGTGATTTGTAAAGCAGAGATGCCACATAGTCATGGGCAGTCAACCTTCACTTTTATTCCTTTCGATATCAGTTGACGCATGACTTTTTTGAGAGCAGTGCTACAACTCATAATGATTCTTCTAAAAAAGAGAAGATTCTGGTAGTGCACTTGTCAAAAAGTATCCTCATAATGAGTAAAAGCAATCCGGATGCAGAGAGTTTAGCCTCAACAATCCAATATAACACGCTTATCGTCGTGTGTATCTGTCGTTCTGTTTGTTGTCACGAAATTTGATTTTAAAAGAGCATGTGGAGGGATCGGATTAAACTTGGGATGCGCTCCGTAGGGAAAGATCAACAGATCACAGTTGGGCCCAGTGGATTTCCGCCCAGGGGAAATACACATTGGACGGTGCCGTAGGCAAAACTCAGTTTGGTTTCGTAACAGCTCAGACGCCGGGAAAAAACTAGCAAAGGTAAGAGATGGGTCACCTGTAAGATGAAGGAGAACCACATACAGTCAACGGAGTGTCTTCACAGAGCGAACTCCCTACTTAAACTCCTAACCTAATTCAACAGAAGCCTAGAGGTGAGAAAAAATAATGGAGTGAGTAGTGTCTGTTACGTGCTGGGCAACAGTAAGCTATCGAATATCCGCCTACGATGGGAGTCCTGCGTCTAATACGAGGTGGCTTCCAAAAAAAAGTATAACACTGTACAAAAAACTTTCTAGTGCGAAGAAAGTGATTAGCGGCTATCGAAGGACGGCGTTGAATATCCAAATTAGTCAGGGTTGAAGCCAAAATTAACAGTTTGGTTCAGACATATTCGGAGGTGGTCATCTCGTCCCAAACTCTGGCGATCTAGCCTCACTATGTAAAGATTATGCCGCAAGTTGAACCGACTTCACTCTCTCAAGCCTTTTAGGATTGTTGCGGCAGCACAGACCAAAGGATCCTGGTTTGGCGCATTCAAAAATTTGGTGGGCAACAAACAAATTTCTGCTGAGGATATTGAGCCGGTCCTTGAGACTATGCGGGAAAATCTCATACGTAAGTCACATAGCTGTTTATTTATTTAATGTTAATTTCGTAATCCCTTGGTATTGCAGTGAAAAATGTTGCTGCGGAGCCAGCAGATAAGATATGCCGATCTGTTGCTCGCAAGTTGGAGGGTAAAGTTGTAAGCACCTTCAGTCGAGTCAGTTCGGAAGTGAGGGAAGCCGTCAGAGAATCTCTCACTCAGGTCTCTTTACATTGCTTCCTTGATTAATTCATAGCGAAATATCTTTGACATAATTCCGTTTCCTTATGGTATTACATACAACCGCTGCCTCTCGTGATTCTGGTGTTTCCAGCTGCTCACTCCTAAACGTCGTGTCGATATCTTGCGCGACATTGTTGAGGCGAAAAGTGAGGGCCGTCCTTACGTCGTTGTTTTCTGCGGAGTTAACGGAGTCGGGAAAAGTACGAACTTGGCTAAGGTTAATTTGTTAGTTCCACCGGTTTGTATTATAAATATGATTTAGATGGATGAATTTAGATTACGTTCTGGCTAAACGAGAACAATCATCGCGTGTTAATCGCCGCAGGTGACACCTTCCGTGCAGGTGCCGTTGAACAGTTGCGCACTCACACAAAACATCTCAATGCCCTCCATCCTAACTCCGTTCAGGTTAGTGAGTCAATTCATCGCTTTTTATTCACTATCCGTTGGGCAGAAGGTATTTCAACACTACCTTCTTCCTTTCAGTTGTGTACATCGAATGAAGTCTTCATTCGATGTTCACAAAGGTTCGTACATCGAATGTTCGAAGTGAGCCGGAGTGAATGGAACCTTTGTTGAGTGGCGCTTTATGATATTTTTATGTCTCTCAAGTGTCTGAGGAGGGAATTACTTAGGTCAGCCTATCCACTCTGTGTGTAGTGAGCAGAGGGCAGCTACCTTGAGAGTTGATCTCGACACAGCCTAGCATTAAGATTGTTGGCCAAATCTCTGCTCAGTACACGTCTTTAGCTTCATTCTCTTCCTTCGCAAAGGAATTTTACCTTACTATTGATTTTATGATTACTTTTCAAAATATATGCTGAGCAGCTCCAACATACCTAATGCATACAACGGCAAGGTACGGAGTGGTAGGGTCCTAAAGTGTGCATATGTTTTCGAGTAATTATTTAAAAAATCTTCGGAAGAAGAGAAAGACTGATGGGCTGTTGGCATAAGACAAGGAAGGAGGATAATGGCGTTCACTGATGCCTTCCCCCTTGAAGAGTACAGTAGCATGCACAGTCAGTCTTCGCTTTCAGAATATCATTCAAAGCTATGAACAAACATTGCGGTATCAATTGTGTAAGAGTAGGCGCATTGCCTGGTGAACAAACCAACATCCCTTAAATTAGTATTCGTGAGTTTTTCATGATCTAAGACTCAGAAACTGCAGCTCTTCGAACAAGGCTACGGAAAGGACTCTGCAAGTCTGGCGGCTGCCGCGATTGGAATAGCTGCTGAGCGTGCCATTGATGTTGTCTTAGTGGATACTGCTGGGCGGATGCAGGACAACGAGCCATTAATGAGAGAACTAGCGAAGGTAGAGTTACTAGTTAATTGGCAGTGCTGTCAATTGCTGAAAGTCTTTCTGTTTCAGTTGATAAGAGTGAATGAACCAGATCTGGTCCTTTTTGTTGGTGAAGCTCTTGTTGGAAATGAGGCTGTGGATCAACTAGTGAAGTTTAATCAGGTGAGATACGATGTCGTTCTTATGGGTGCACGGCTCAGTGATTGTTAGTATGCACTAACCGCTCGTAATGCCGAGGTTGTTTCATAATCCATTAGCAGAAAACCTCCGTTTATTTTTAGGCTCTTGCCGACAACGCTACACCGGGTGCAACACCACGCTTAATTGACGGCATAGTTTTGACGAAATTTGATACGATTGATGACAAGGTATTGTCTTTTTTTTTTTGTTCTGATATGTTGTGGTTGGATTAAGATTATTCCCATTGATTTAGGTTGGTGCTGCTGTTTCGATGGCCTATATTACTGGTCAACCTATCGTTTTTGTCGGGTGCGGACAGACATACTCGGATCTTCGCACTCTTAATATCGGTGCAGTAGTTTCTGCTCTCCTTAAGTAAATTAATTTGTTAACACTGTGGATAAGATTTTACTGTCTGTTATAAATTTAACTAGTTCACTATTTGCTTTTGTCGCTAGTATACATTTTACATTACATTTATTACATTTACTCTTTCTCGGGAAAGTGTGTCAAGTTTTAACTTATTTTTTTTGGATAGTCTTTTCTTTCTGACATTACTGTGTGTACATCAGTATTAACACAGGGTCAAAATCGGTGCGGCTTGGAAAGTTCCCTGGGCACGCTTGTATTCCACATGACGTTGTGATCGATATATCTAAGTCTATCTTAACGCCTTTTATATACAACTATTATAGCTTGCAGATGAATGAACATGAATTTTCCCTAAGTGTATTTCCTTTGATGCTCACAAGAAAAGATAGCTATTATACATGCAGCAGACGTCCACGCTTCCCCCCATTAAGGTGCCTCTTGTCCTAAGGCAGTAGGCTGTCCCGCTGTCGCAGGCACCGACGGTTTCCATCTTGTAGTTCTTTGATTGCCATATTACATTTCAACATCTAATTACTCTTGTTTTTTCTGCCTCTGGAGTGGTTTCTAGGCTCCTCACCCATTTTACATCTGGTTCTATCCAGGGGGATAACAGGGTATGGTGAGGTTCCGACAGCTTCAGAGATTTTGTCTTTGCAATGCAGCTTTTCTGTTGTGGACATAGGATTGGGCCTTATACTACTCAGCAACAAGTGAAGATGGTCAAGAAAGACTTTTCGAGTCAAGCAAAAAGGATGAGAGGAGGACGGGGTGACCGTGCGGCTCTGGACAACTGCCGTATTTTCAGCAAGCTGGTATATTAATTCAGCTATTGTTAAAGCAATGTACGATAAGTATCCAGCAATGTACGATAAGTATGGCATGGCTTTGAATAAATTTTATACGACTTTTAATGAACCTGCTACCAAGATGACAACAAGCTCGTATCAACCTACGTTTCGGCTTTATTGATCGCCCTTTTCAGACTCTCGAGAGATAACCGGTCTTTTAGTCGACCGTTGCTAAACGTTTAACGGCGGTCGGCTAAAAGACTGGTTGTCTCTCAAGATTCTGAAGAAGGCGATCATGCCTCCTCCAAGTCCTGGAAAAGAACTGCCTTCTGCTGTACAACAAAGCATAGCTCTGTGACGACTGGTCAACACCTGGAATGCGCTGCAGCGGAACTCAGAGCTGCTTCATATTTTACAATTAACTGTGTTTGTTTTTTCTACATTTACATTTAACAATATTTTTAAGGAAAAACTACAACTCAAGATTGTAGAAGATGTTCCAAAACATGCCAAAGTAACCGGATCGGTAGTACATTATATACCGAACAAGTTAACAACAAAGCTGATAATCGTTTTCGACGCCTCAGCTCATTATAAAGGGAGCCATTCTCTGAATAAAGTTCTTCATCGTGGCCCTCTGATTCTTCCACCTCTTTTCGGTATCCTTTTACGCTTCCGAATTGGGACAATAGGCATCATATCCGATGTCGAAAAAGTGTTTTTGCAAGCACGCTTACACGATAGCGATAGGAACGCAACAAGATGCCTCTGGCTGCATAATTACGAGAAGCCTACCCTGGAAATTACCCGGACTCTTCGTTAAACGCGAGTCACCTTTGGACTCAATACTTCACCATTTTTATTGGCGGCTACAACACACTACCCTTCAAACTCATATAACGACAAGATGCTCGTGGAAGAAATCAGGAACAACTTATGTAGATAACGTGCTCTTAACGGCCGGCACTTTTGAAGGAACAAGATACAAGCACAAGCAAGTTAAGCAGATGTTCGGCGACTTGTCCATGAACTCACGGGAGTTCGTCTCCAATGAGTCTGCTCCCTTAAACAATATAGCCACGGCAGACAAGTCATAGGAGAGAAATCCCAAGGTTCTAGGGATAAGGCGGCGGAGCTCTGCGTAGACAAAAGTTTCAATTGGCATGTACCGTTGAAGGTAAAGAACCAGTAACCAAAAGAACGGTAGCAAGTTCAGTGGCCTCAATCTACGATCCATCAGGGTGGATTACTCCGTTAACACACAGAGCCAAGGTATTTATCTAGTCGCTGGGGAAAGCCATTTAAACGAGGCATGAAAAGCTACCAGACACGAAAGTTAATGAGTGGAAAGACGTAGTAAAGTCTATGCATCGGTTTCACAAAGACTTCCCTCGAATCATATCCAAAAGAGCCGATCAACAAGTTCTTGTAGCATTCGCAGACGCAAGTTTAGAAGGTATGGCAACATGCGCATGCATATGCCATACCTTCTAAACTGCCGATCATTCCACAAGTTTGCTGACGGCGCAAGAAAAGCTTCCTTTGATACGGTCTTCAATGACTGTGTCCAAAATGGAGTTGAATGCATTGACGTTGGCAATGCGACTAGCCACTCACACCCAAATTCAAACAGTAATATTTCAGGCTGAGTTAAAGTTTTGATCGACTCTTCATCCCTTCCTAGATTCTTTCGTAGGACCGCTCGGAAGGGCTTCGTAATGAGTCATGATAGATCGATCCCTAACCTGTACTTTTAGGGGGATACTCCCTTGTAAGTGCTTCGCAAATATGACTTCCACCTTCAATTGCCGTCCGAAGCTGTCTGAGAACTATCGTCTATCACGAATCACTGTAGGGACCTAATCCACCGCTGTCGCAAAGAAGTATGGCGCATCAAGAAGAGTACTCCCCTCTCAACCCACGAGTGCCTTATGACGAAACACCTCAAAGACAAGCAGAGAAGTGGACTTCGTCTGAGGAAGGTTTTACTGTGTCGTCGGTGGACATTCTCAGGTAATGCTCTACTTTGGATAACATACTGAGGGTTCCACCGTAACCGCCGAGATTTACCCTTCTCAGCTACAGAGAATGGCCGACGTTGTTTGAAGGAAGCGTCTGCAGCGTGAAAATGTTTGCCTTTTCACAACAGCGCTCGACCGCATATTGCGAAATTGTTTTGTCAGTCAATTGGCGAACTCGGATGGGTGGGAAGTGCTCCCCCATTCTTCTTATTCGCCACTTTTCGCTCCGTCTGATTACCATTTGTTTCTCGCTCTGAAACATCACCTTCGCGATAGAAATTTTGATGATTGCTCGGAACTCAAGACTGAGATATCCAGCTTTTTCGAGTCACCGTTCTAGGCTTCAGGAAGCAAAAAACTGCCGGATCGTCAAACATATGTATGTTGGGGACACGATGGAGACTATATTACTTATTGAGATCCTCTTCCAATGAAAAAAAGACTTTTCAAAGTGAAGACTGAAAAACCGACATAAAGCTTTCACTAAACCTAAAATCTTCTGCAAATTTATGTTTTTTGGACTCTGAAATAGTACTGAACTGGCTCAAGGATTCAGGAAAAGAAGAGAAAGGAGCTCTAATCAAACACCGTCTCACCGAAATCAGGAAAAGTACGAATACTTGAAGTCAAGGGAGCTTCAATTCTCCTTTATATTCGTTTAATCTCGTCAGAACACTGCTGAGGGTGCTACTCGTGGCCTACACAAGGACGACTTTGAAAACCGCTCCTCGTCGAACAGTCTACTTTTCCTACATATACCTACTTCAGAATTGCTGGAATTGAAAAATGCTAGCGTCCGCTGCTTTCTGGGACATAGACGATACGAAAAAAATAGGAGCCCTCCAAAATCGATTCGGCAGCCACAGGTCTTCAACTTCGAAAGAACACGCAAAGAAGCTCACTCTAAGTAAACAGGCGACAACGCTCACAAAAGCCAAACGAGTTTTGGCATACGTTCTTCGATTTGTCGGGGTAATAGTTCAGCAGCTCAGTATTAAAGGCACGGTTCACGATAAAAATGAATACTGACTTCTTCATCTAGAATACTCAGTGGCTCCCAATGGTAATAGAAAGGCCTCTCTTGCGCCCAAAAACTCGAACGTCAGGGCAGCGGAAACCCTGCTTCCGGCTCGCGCGGCCTTCCCTCGATCGATGGCATGTCAGACGGGTGTCGGGCGATACAGATTGCAAATTTTCGCTCTAGGAACCCCACGCAATCAGCTGATCGTCGAGCAATGAGGCGATGATTTCCTCCCATTCTTTTGTTCTCTGCTTTTTTGCTGTTGGGTCCCCTAATATAATTTTCTATCCCAAAGAGCTAGAAAAGGTGGGCTATTTTTTGCTGTTACTAAGAGGTTTTTGTCAACTCATGCTTATGGCTGAATGAATTTTTGCTTACCTAATCAGCTATTCGCACCAGGACCCACACGTACGCACTGACAGACATTGTATAGCCAGTCCAAACGCCCCATACTTCATTTTTCCGGTCTCACTCTCGTCCAACCCCGTTTCAACGATTTTTCGGAGCCTTTTTTCACTTTGGAAATACCGATTCACGCAGTTTCTTCGCCTTCATCGTAGTATTTTCTATCTTACCTCCCATTTTTCTTCATAATCTGTATTACCCAAAATGATCGTGTACTGTGCCTTCAAGGATCCAGGCGACGTTAAAATCTCGACCTCACTCAGAGAATGTTTGAATCTCACTACAGCCTCACTAACAGGTAGAGAGGTCAAGTACGCGGAGAAGGTTTTAATTCGTCATCACCAGCGAACATGGATCAAGCAAGCAATACTACAAAAACTGTCATTCGAACTTCTGGTTAAAATATTCTTGTGCCGTGCGAGGTTGTTAGGTGGAACGTTCATTAATCACAACGGCCTAACGTTTCGACGTTCTCGTCGTCTTCAGAGGCCAAGGTTCCACCGCCAAGCGGATTTTATATCGGTGGAACCTTGGTCTTTGAAGACGACGAGAACGTCGAAACGTTAGGTTGTTGTGATTAATAAACGTTCCACCTAACAACCTCGCACGGCACAAGAATATTTTAACCAGAAACATCTATGCGGAGGTTAAAGCAAGAGAGAAGTTGGAGACTGTCATTCGAATGTATAGAAAGCTAGCGAGAGCATTATACGATGTTTTGGCCAGTTAGAAAAAAGCGAAATGGAAGACGAGGCGGACTACCTCATATTGA